CTTGATATAACTTTGTAAGGTAGAAGGCTTTCCAGGTGTGCAAGAGGGAAAGTGGGCACCAGCGGAGGTTGGTAGTAGATGGATTCCATGTTCCACTGTCTCAGTACCAGTTTAGAGGGTGTGGGGATGATGCCAGTGGCAGTGGCAGATGCAGTTTCTGGATTTCTGGGTTGATGACCAGGGTGTGACCCTAGAGACAAATGTTAAATGGCAGACTCTGGTTGTCATTCCTCAGCCTTTTTGTAGGCATCTAATTCTCTGTATTAAATCCTTTCTTCTTACAATACCTAGAGTGGTGAGTCAGACTGGCTGGCTGCTCCACCCCATTTTCTTTTCTTCTATATACCCAGCTAGAACAATGCATTTCTCAGCCCCTTTTGCAGTTAGGTGTGACCCTATGCTAATAGATGTTAAGTGGGAATGTTGAACAGCCCCTTCAGACCTGAGCTAAACAATTGCCCCCTCAGACTCTCCCTGCTTTTCTCCCCTCTACTTACCTGATACAGACAAGCACAGTGACCTAGGCACTATGTGTGGGGCCACAGTACAGAATGGAATGAGACTGGGTCCCTGGATCTCTGGAGGGACCTTGGAAGAGAGTCACCTTGGAAGAGAAGCTCTCGCCCATCATAGTGGCATCAGACAAAACCACAGCTGGCATGTGAGGGGAGAAAAAGGTGTCGAGGAAGATACTATAGAAGCAACAACCAAGAGCCAAATGGAAAAAACAGTGGCCACTGAAGTAAAAGGAACAAAAACCTCCTGTTTTCTAAGTCCCTGGAATAGTGAGGTTTATCTAATGTGAGGGTTAGCAGCACCCCAGTGAAAAGAAGTTGTTTCTGCTCTTACACTGAACTCTGACTGATGACAGCCACCAAAGTGAAGCTCACAGTAAATCACTGAAAGTACTGACATAAACACAATAGAGGCCATGTCCAAAAGGAACACATGAGCTGGTAGAATCTGACTAAAAAAAGTAGAGATTGGAAAGCCTTGGGGGTCAGTATACATTTCCCGTGTGGAGGCTTAAGTACCAAATCCTTTTGATGTCTTATAAACCCTGGTCCCTGTTCATCATTCCATCTTTATCCTTCACATACACTGAACTCCAGGAAAAAAACACTTAGAAGCCCTTAAACACTCCAAAGCTCCTTTAAAAAAATATTGCTATATTTCAGGCCTAGGAAACCATGTTCACAGGTCCCAAGATGTCCAGGGGTGGCTTCCAAGGAGAAGCCTCTCTGCTGCTCGAATTGAAAGCCACCTTTCCCCACCATGGACCTTGATTCCAAGGGCTGTTCCCTTTGAATGAATTCCAGGAGCAGATGCAGATCTCAGAGACAAGTGGAAGCATTTTGACGTACAGATGTGAGGCCTGGCAACTGAACTGACAACTCAAATAGCATCTCTCATCCATGAGCCAGGCCAGCTGGTCTGTTCCACTGGCTGGGAGCATGCCTGAGAAACGTGCCTCCTTTTTATATTCTGATGTGTCACGATTCACCCTTTGTTGTTCCAGAATATTCTGAAGCACAGGAGGCTAATCATCCTTAATGTTGTGACATCTGTTTGAGATGACTGGGGTCTCATGCCCAGAACCCTGCTGCATCATCATGAAGGTGGCCACACAGTCACCCTCTGTCCATCCCTTGCCATTTCCCTTTCAGTGGCTCACCAATCAAGAAGAGAAGAAAAATAGCCTTATGGCTGGCAGTGCAAACTAACCTTAAAAGATAAATATATGTTACTAAAAGTAAAGTACAGAAAAAATACTTGCAGTTGTTCAGAGAAGATTGATGTTCCATTGACCACAGCAAAGCAAGCAGGAGAACATGTGTGTGTGTTTTGGTCCTCCCTATGGAGCTTGAAAGAAGCTGGGCTTCATTTAGGTTTTCAGTGGCTCAAAAGAAAGTGAAAGCCGTCTCAGTTTCTGCTGCTCATGTTGGAGTCACAACATGAAAAATGTAAGCTCCAAGGATCAATCATGCAGTCGAAGACAGAGAGAGGGCATTCTAGCCTTTGGAACTCTTTCACAACAGAATGTCACCTGCTTAAAGAGTCACTAGTCCCAAAAAGTCTTAAAGGAGAGAAAATGCAAACTCTGATCCCAATTAGCTTTGTATCCTGTCAGCTCAATGACCAATCTGCACCTAAAGTTCACAATGAGAAATTGGGATAATAACTTCTTGTTGAGGGCAGACCATGTGGCAAAGACTACACTAAACACTATATATACTTAATGTTATTTAATTTACCCAGGACTCTGAGGCTTTATCCCATTATACAAAAACAACACAGAGTATCAGAAAAATCAAAGAACCTCCTCAACACCATATCACTTGTAAGAAGCTGAACCAAGAGTCAAATACAGTTCAGTTTACTCCAAATCCTACACTCTTAACCTCTGTACAACATTAATTAGTATCAGGATTTACCTAGGTAGCGATACTTGTGGCACAGGGGTAGAGATTAGAGAACAAAATGTTGAATAAAGCTGGTGGCAGGGCTACTTTCAAGGTTTGGAAAGCCCTGCCAGTAGGCTTGATTGATGCCCAGAGCTAGATATGCCCTCCACCCTGGCAATTCCAGGCCACTAGGGAACACTTATAAAGGCAAGCAGGTTACCACAGCTCTTCAAAACTCCCCCACCTGCCCCCTCCAAAAATAATAAAAATGTAGGAAACCCTGAGAGCCACTGGTAATGCTCAGTCACCCCCTGGAGTAATTTGAGCTCACAAGTTCTCTCTTTCAAGAGGAAACCGGAAGAAGCCAGGTTCAAAAGGCTGTATATCATATGATTCCATAGAGATAGAAAACATATCAGTGGTTGCCAGTGAATAGGAAATGAGGGTAAGAGTTGACTGCAAAATGACACAAGAAAACTTCAGGGGGGTGATAAAAATGTTACAGATGCTAATTATGGTAGACTGGACACAAATGTATGTATTTGTCAAAACTCATTTGATCATACACTTAAAATTGACATATTACACCATGTACATTATATTCTAACGAAGCTGATTTCAATATATGCAAACAATTTTTTCTCCCCAAAAAACCTAGCTAATGAATCTTGAGCTAAAATTTTTATTGTGTAACTTTTTGCAGTAAACCTTGGAACCTGAATTCCTCAGTTGTTCAACCTTCCCAGAGATTTCCTGCAGGCAGCCACTGCTGGCTGATCTACCACATCCACTGGGAAGAAGGTTCTAAAGGGAATTTTCAGGCAAATTCTTCTGTACTAGTTTAAATAAGAAGCTGATTCCCAGAAGTAGAATCACTGGATTTATCCAAAAACCCAAAACACTAATTCAAAAGAATATATGCACAACTTTGTTCATTGCAGCATTATTTACAGCAGCCAATATGTGGAAGCAGCCCAAGTGTCTATCAGTAGGTGAATAGATAAAAAAAAGCTGTGGTATATTTCCACAGTGGAATACTACACAACCATAAAAAGGAAGAAATCTTACTCTTTGCAATATTGTGGATTGACCTGGAGATTATTATGCCAAGTGAAAGAAACCAGTCAGAGAAAGACAAATACCATATGATTTCACTCACATGTGGAATTTAATAAACAAAGTAAACTAACAAGCAAAATAGAGACAGGTTCATAGAGAGCAGGCTGATACCTGTTGTGAGGAGGGTCTGGGTGGGGACAGTGAAGGAACTGAACAAAAAAGAAAAAACTCATGGACATGGACAGCATTGTGGTGATTGCTGGAGAGGGGGAGGTGGAGGAGGGTATAGGGGCTATAAATGGTGATGGGTAAAGACCTGACTTGGGGTAGTGAACGCACAATAGAGTGTACAGATGATGTGTTGTAGAACTGTGCACCTGAAACCTGTGTAATTGTGTTAACCAGTGTCACCCAGTAGATTCGATGAAAAGAAAAAGAAGCTGATTGCTAGAGTTACCTTGGCTTCCTGCCTCCTTTCCCGAATCTTAGAGGTCACACTATGTATTCAGTAGAAAGATTCACCTGGAAAATTGCCTAGAGCCACATTAAATATAACATCACTGTTTTTAATTTCTATATCACATGACATACCTGTTTTTATCTTCTATCTTGTTTTTATCTTCTGTCTTGTTGCATTTTGAAGGCCATACCTGTCTCTGTGCTCAGCTCTGAAATTCAGGGGGAAATCTTGCTTAAAATACTAAATATTGCAGCTACCACCTGCCTCGAAGGGCTTAGTATGGATTTAAAAATTAATATTTTAGTAAGACTAACTATACCAGACTCATCTGCATGTCTTTCCAGCTCTGAGTCACCCATCCCCTACACATTCTTTTTGATAAAGGTACTCTCTCCCCAGTACGGCCAGTTAGTCCCTTCGCTTTTTGTACCAGATCTCCTGCTTGGGAAAGATCTGGAGGCTTCTGACTCATGTTAATGGATCATTTGGAAAAGGAACATAGGCCATACAAATATAGTCTAACATTGCAAATAATCAAATCAGTCGTGCAAATTAATAAGTACATAAGGTCATATCCCAAAAGGAAACAGTGCGGTCTCATACAACAAAAGCTGCCAGAAAGAATGGATTTTAAAGGGAAATGAAAAAGCCAGCTTGGCTTAGGACTCCTTTAAAAGCTACTAATGTTATCGTGGTGTTATCTGTCATCGTGGTGTATATGGTCTACCGGGCACAGCTACTTGGGGGTAGCTAATCTCTGTACCTCACAGCAAGGTATGAGCTATTCTATTTTATTTCTAATTTTAAAAAAAAAGAGTAAATAAGGCCCTGGCTGGTGTAGCTCAGTGGATTGAACATAGGCTGCAAACCAAAAGGTCACCAGTTTGATTCCCAGTCAGGGCACATGCCTGGGTTGTGGGCCAGGTTCCCAATGGGGGCCACATGAGAGGGAACCACACAATGATGTTTCTCTCTCTCTTTTTCCTTCCCTTCCCCTCTCTCTAAAAATAAATAAAAAAATATTTTTTAAAAACAGAGTAAATAAGACAACAGACAACAAAAGTTTCAAAGCACATCTTAATCATTTATTAAAAGGGGAAGAGTACAGCATTGAAGGAGCCAACTCTATGCAACAGTACTCGAGAGCACTAAAGGAAAATAGACCATGACCAGATGATAAAGCCTTCAAAAGCACAGAAGCGCATACAACTACAAGCTGTTCAAACTGCATTGATTTACGAAGTACCTGCTGCAGGTTGTCTATATTTCTCCCTCAAAATTTTTTATTTTATTTTATTACAAGTTTCGATCTTAAACAAAGACAAAAATTGCATGAAATAATTGCATGACCTCACACAAGTCACAAATGCTGTAAGGGCTTTGTTATATAACAAGAAATGCTGTCATTCTATTACTGCTGTGTGATTTTGTTACAGTCTTTGAGTCATGTAAGCAAAAGTTCATGATGAGAAAAAAAGTAACTTCATTTATATCCATTCCATAGAAAAACCAGCTAATTTGTATAAAAGGCAGTAGGTAGGAAGAAGGTGGGGAAAATTGGTTGGTAAATCTGTTTCCAATTTTCTAAGCTTCCTTGGGATGAAGTAGTAAAATAGGAGGGTTCTGCTGATCCTTATATAAGTAGACAATAAGGAAAAAATAATCCAGTGCCTCATTTCCAGATCCATATGGGGTTGATTTGCAATGTACAGTTTAATATATAAAAGGGGCTTTCTCCAAAAAACTCAGTACATTTTACAGATAAAATACAAACACACTAAATTTACTTATCTGCTCCATACAAAACATCATTTCAGATGCCAGCAAGAAAAACAAAGTTAGAGATTTTGTTCTTCAAGAAGCTTCAGGTATTAATCTACCTAATTAGGCTCCAGGTTTCATTCAGGTATGGAAGAATTAGTCAGGCTACATGGAGGAGAATGGTCATTGAGCTCTCTTACCTGTAAAAAGTATCCCTAGAAGCCATATAGAGTTCTCTTTAAGTTTCTTAATTTCCAGATGTCACCTCACTGAAGGCTTTCTTGGATTCATAATGTCCCTGGACCCCTGACAATCACACCCTGGAAGGACCTTATTTCACTAGGGAAATGCATCCCAGGAGGCAGGGGGCTTTCAAGAAAACTCATCAAATCAGGGCAAATATCTTAGGTCTCTAGTGTGGTAGAATTATGCTCACAAATATTAGTACTAGGCGAATATACTCTTAATCACCCCTGCAAGTCTCTAAAAAAGTGGAGAATACCATTTTTTCAACTAACATTTTATTTCTCTCTCACCCTAACACCTAAACAGTTTAGACAGGTTCCTGCTCAAAGACAAGATCATAATTTAGAAGGTAGCCATCATTATACACATAAAGTTTCTGGTCAAAAGGATGATAATTAATGCTCTGCACAGTTTCCTGCATCTTGTGCATTATAATGTTTAGTGTGCCCTCTTTCCCTGTGTTTGTGTCATAGTAGTAGAAAATCTCTTCTTTTCTGGTGTTCAGAGTACGGGTGGCATACAGAACCCCACATACCATGAAGGCGTTAGAAACAGATGGTTTATACTGCTTGGTATACCAAGTGTTTAGCACCACAAGTGTGGTATCATTGAGTTTACTGATCACCATGTTACCAGTGCTGGCTTCAGTTGCATAAATCACCCACAATCCCTTCTCATCTACAGCCAAGTCAATATCTTGCCAGTCAACATTAGCATATGAAAAGCGGTTATTATAGGCAGCATCAGGGAGAGTTTGAGTCACAGCAGCTGTGTTGGTAGTCAGGTTAACTTTGGCAATGGTGCGGGAGTTGTACCAGTTGACATACATGTTGTTTTTGTAAACTACTGTACCACCACCCTGACCATAGAAAATCCGGTACTCTCGGGGATTTAAATACAATAGTAGATCATCCAGTGTATTATAGAGTCTGTAATATTCCAAGAGTTTCCCATCTGTATTTAAAGGCGCCACCCAATACAGCCCTTTGTCTGGATTCTGGGGAGAGTAATCCCGACCCCAGGCGCCATACTTGAAGGCAAACCCTCTCCAGTTGAGCTGAACTATAGCAGGTCTGCTGATGTTCACCACACCACCATGAGCACAGCTCCCTAAACAAACAAGAAAATTAAAAAGGCATTCTTAGAGAAAATGAACAAGAAACAAACAGTTTAATATCCTAAGAACTAAAGAAAGCCATAAACATTTTTCTCATCAAGGTTCAATGACAACAGTGGTTCTGATGGAGAAGAGCCAAAACCTCTCTTGGTTTCTGTCTCAGTGCAAATAGGCTGTCAGCTCTAGAGAGAACAAGCTTACATTTCTGTGGACTGTCTCTGAGTCTAAAAAATGAGGATAATGAAACCACCAAGGTTAGAGGGGTGGCTCAAATTCAGAAAAAGGGGATTTGGTAAGTTTAATACATTTTTCTATCAATAAGCATTTCTCAAATAGTATTTCATTTCATTTTTCTTATAGAGAAATCAAAAAGCAGGATCATTCCAGAATCTTACCTTGCTTCCATAAAGCCAGAAAGTGCCACTCACCAGGGTCAGGGAGAATCAATCATAATGAAGGAGAAGATTTTCCTGTGCAGCTCTCTTTTCCCTTCACAGTTCTGCCCTCCCATGGGACCCCAAGTGCGTATCCATGCCATTTACCAGTGCTGTCCCAAGCTAATGTTAACAGAGGAAGTTTTGAATATGGTATTTTAAAGATACAGAAAGATGGTACTATAATGGTGGGATTTCAGCCTTGAGAAGCCATGGGAGTTACTTTAAGGCAACATTGCCTGCTCTGTACCCAAAGCATAGCCCGTCACATAGATCACTTGGTGATCATCTTGCTTCAGAGTTATAAGGTGGGTCCTCCTGCTTATAATCTGTATTCTACCGCAGCACAGAATGACATGCAAGTACTTCATCATTCCCATTCTGACACTGTTGTCACAATGTACACGATCAAGTGGGACCAGACTCACTAAATCTACATCCCCTCTAACACTTGGGTGAATAACTCAGGCTGAACAATTGGCCCTTCACATTGCCTTTCCTCTAAAATGCCTATAAACCAAAATCATTTCTGAACTATAAAAAATAAAATAAAAATTTTCCTTGTTTTTATAATAATCGAAAGAGTTGAATATACATTTTCTAGGATCTTAATAATCCCCTTAAACTGGGTAAAATAGTTTATTGAATAACAAAAAATTGCAACTTCAAGTACATTTGAGGTCACTTTCCCTCATCTGGCTACCTGGAGCAGAGGAGGTGCGGGAGGAGGAAGCAGAACCTGAATCTCTGACTCTCTGCCTCTGGCTTTAAATGCTTGAAAGGGGGCCTGGCTGGTGTAGCTCAGTGGACTGAGTGCAGGCCTGCAAACCAAATCATCACTGGTTTGATTCCCAGTCAGGGCAAATGCCTGGGTTGCAGGCCATATCCCCACAATGGGGTGTGCTAGAGGCAACCATACATTGATGTTTCATCCCTCTCTTTCTCCCTCCCTTCCTCATCTCAAAAATAAATGCTTGGAGGGAATCAGGGAGCCATGGAGAGCACGTGTGGTGAGCTGGACCCAAAACCAGAGCTCCAAAGAATTGCACGAGGTTAGCATTGGGGGGGGCAAGGAGTGCAAAACTTTTGTCTCCAAGTCTCTGTTTCTGACCCATTCCCTTCCTTGCTAAATAGCTCCCCCTCTCCCTGCCTCATTCAGGGACTGCTCACAGGTGAAACCATTACTAGAAATCCTGCTTTTATTTTTCCAATCTGCTGGTGCTTTTTGGTCCCAGAATTAAATACATGCTCCTTAAATGCTCTCATAAATCTGCAGCTGGTGGGAAAGCCAGCCAACCATACAATAGGTAGAAAAATGAAACAATTCTGTACCCAACCTCAAATAATTTTGCATGTCATTAAGCAAAACACAGCCATGGGTTTATTTTAATAATGCATGCACCATTTCATAAATAAAAAAGCAACATGTGTTCAGCCCAGAGACTGCTCCCACTAAAGAAATAATAAATAAAATTATAAATTATTATTTCTTCTCCTAAAAGTGATCTCTCAGATGAATGCTTGTTTGCTTTTGTTTATGAAACAATGCATGAATTATTAAAATAAAGTTAGCAGTGTGTTCAGTTGAACGATAACAAAAACTGTTCGAGTTTCCATATGCTACTAACTGGATTTTCTAGTTAAAATAATCTTCCCAAGAACTTATTTATTCAACTGCATTTCACTCTGAGGAAATGAAAGAAAGTCACTTTTTTCTTGAAGGTTAGAAGACTTAAGAACTGTTTGCTTAATTGAATCTTGCCTTCCTGAAAAGGAAATATCCCAAGCCAATAGCAACAAAATATTTAAAGAAAATTTATGATGCATATAACTAACTCAAGCATTATCATGGGGTTAAAGATAATAAACTAGTCTGCCCTAGATGTGTAAATACTTAGATATGAATGAACCAAAATAATCTTCTCTTTAAAATCACTGCTACTAGAAGCACCAATAGTAGTAATGACTCATCATTTTACATGTTGGCAAGAAAATTAAAGTTATACCTGGTATAAATATTAAAACTGTATGACCCTAAATCTCTTTTGCTCACCTCCCAACCATTCCTAAATACTCTCCTGTTCTTTTTGTTATCTTCACTTTATGCTCCTTTGAGCCATTTTTAGGATGTTGGCTTTGGTCAAAAAGAAGTGAATACAGGCAAAAAAAAACCCAACAACTAAGCATTGTTGCCAATACTACAGATGTGGCAATAGCAATGAAAAGCTATGGCAGATTTCCCTGTTTCCTGGCAACAAACAGTCTTGGAAACAAGACTGAAACTGACAGCCGGTGTCCACTACTCATCTAGCCCAGCCAGAGTGTCCAACCCTACCCCTACCTACACATCCCCCTTAAGCTTCTTCCCACACCTCCTTATCTCATGCCCCTTCCCAGTCCCTTCCTTAATTTCAAGAGTGTGTTAGGGACACTCCATCCCCCTCCTTACATAGCTCATCCGAACTTTACCCTGCCACTGATATAACAACCCATTGCCCCGCCATGACCCAAGAATTGTGAAAAATAATGAATCATTTTGCATTTTCTGGTGAAAGAGGACACAGCATAGAACTGAGAGCAAAAATACCACTTTAGTACCTCTGCAAGCAAGGAAGAAAAGATAGTTGGTATTAATCAGGTTGGTGAGTTGTTAGAACTTTCTTGTCACTCCAGGAATCACAAGTGTACCTCTCTCTGTTAGAGCATCTATGCAGGGCAGCCTGGTGTAGTGAAAATATTACCACATAGATTCCAGTTCAGTCCTGACTCCAATACTTAGTATCTGTGTAACCTTGAGCAAGTTACTTAACCTTCTGAACTTCAGTTTCCTCATGTTAAATGAAAAATAATAATACCTACTCTTCAAGACTATTAGGAAAAACACAAAGAAAGTAAGTACATGTAACTCACTAAATGGTAACTAGCAGCAACACACTCATATGAGGTTACCATTGAAGGAACATGTGACTATCTCCCTTCCTGGATAGTAGCTTTGCACCCGTCCTGGTGACCCCAGTACTAAGAACAAGCCCAGCTTTACAGTGTTTATAGAATAAAGAAATGAAAGACTAATCATATCTCTTAAATCCAGCTACTTACTCACACTGATAAAACACAAGCCCTCTACCCTATTATATATCTAAATTTTTAGAAAACCCTGGTGTTCACAGAATATGATTCAAGGAATCTTTAACACAATGGTAGCTTTGGTTGGCAGTCTCTTCACCATGTAATTCATTAGACATTGCCATGACATTCTGAAAATATCCTGGGAAGCCACATGATGAGATTTTAAAATACTATAACTTGGTTTTTTTTAATATCATAGTTAGCATTTTTCTTTAAAGCCAAACATTATATGTCTGCAGAGGAAACTTAATCTTAGATCTATCAATATGTTTTCTCACCTGGGCAAGTGAACTTTGAGCCAAGAGGAGAAATATAGACTTGTATTAGGCAATTAAAACAGTAGTAATCATAAAATAATTAAGATTAAATTGACTGTGAATAATTGGATATATGCTACCCAACACTCTCCTCTTCCCTAATCTTAGGACTTTGGCAGGTCACCCCGAATCTTCCTTGCCCTGGTCAACCACCAACCACTTCCCGAGCACTTACATGTATCTGGCATTGCCGAGCACCATGGTGCTCAACCCTTGAGCGTCTCTATCACATTTTGTCTATGCAGTCATTTAGATTCAAAGGAAAGCCACAGAGAGACAGAGTCAGTTGTTTTCAGGGGAAAAAAGTTAATGAGCACAAGGCCAATTATTTTTGATTAGGAAGTTCTAGGAAATGAAGCAGAAAAAGATGGCATTTGCAGCATAAACCAAGTGTTAAGTGCACTTTATTGAACCTTTACTACATGTCCTGGTTCTAAGATCAAGCTGACCACAGGGATAGCAAACCACAGCTGCAAGGAAGGGGCCAAGAGAGCACAGAATTACTTCATAGCTGAAACATGCATCCCGTCTTTTTTGTTCTATGCAACTTTGCAGTCCTAAAAGCAAAGAGGTCAGATTTTCAAGTCCCATAATAGTGAGAAACTTTAATTAAAGTCTCCACAGGCTCACAACTTGGTACTGCCTGGGGATTTTTCAATTCTGCATTGTCAACCAGCCTAAACAGAAAGAAAGCAAGTGAAAGAAATTGATTTTAAAACATGACAAAAAGTCAGTTTAACATAAACATCATAAATATAATATGAACAAAGCTGGAGGAGGGCCAAGTGACTTGGCCAGGATCCAGGTGCAGCCAAGGTTTTAGGAAAGTGAGAAGAAATCTGGGTCCACTTCACTTAAACAGCACAGCTGGGCTGGTATGGCTGACAAAAGTCTAAGTGTAAGGACCTGGGGAAAAGTTCTAGGGAAAAAATATCCTAATAAAAATAACCCAACAGACTCCCTTGTTTTCCTCCTTAGATACTAAGCAGTGTTCTTTCTCCCCCACCACTGTCTGTGAATTTTATTGGCACCTGACATTCTAGGTCCTGGGAAGACCAGGAAGGGAGGGGCCTTGCATTCCAGCCACAGGTCTGTCACTCCCTGTGCTGCCTCAGGAAAAGCAGCATCCTCACCATCTAAGTCCCCTCCTCTGAGAAATGATGGGTCTAAGCTGGATGGCCTTGAATGTTCATTCTGCTCTAAAATGTCCTTATTCTAAGAAATGTATAGAAAACTGTGCTGGAAAAATCTGTTCCATGAGGGAGACTTGCTGAGGTTAAATAAGGAAGAAAGAAAGACTCACTCAGGCATTATCAGAGGTTGTCATTGCTTCAACTCCTGCCTTCAGGGAGCCCTTGGTGGCACAGCACGATAAGCACTCATTTACAATGCATGTTGGCACCGCTGATCCCAGACCCAATTTAGCCTCACTTTGTTACAAAGGACAGAACATGGCCTTTGTCCTAAACCTCCTCTGGTATGTCAGGCTATGACAGATTCCCAAGTGCAGAAGGAGGGAGAGTCCCCTGAACAGGACCAAAAGGTTGATAACTATGGCAGTATGTAATTAAAGCCTTAAACAAGCCAGCTACACTGACAAGGATCCAGAAGCACAAGGCCTAAAAGGAAGCAGGTTGTGACAATAGGAATTGATGAAAATAACAAGCGCTGACTAGGTGATGAAAAGATACAATGCACACCCAGGCTGAGATGCTCACGACCTGCAGCAATTGTTTCTCTGTGACAAGGCGTCTCTGAGGGACAGGGCTGAATGCTGCGGCTGAGAGGCTGGCTTTAGTTCACTTGGAGGGATGTGCTGAAGCACACAAGGACCTGGCGCTGCCTTTGTTCACAGCAAGGTTTTCACTTCAATTATCCTCGTTAGTAATAATAACAACTGCCAGTGCGTAAGTGCCGATCATAAGAGCTCTGAGCTCCCCGAGCCTGTTTCATTACTCTCACAGCAACCCCGCAAGGCAGGCACTATTATTCTCCCATTTTATATGTGAAGAGATTAAGGATCTTTTTACTGTGGTCACATAGGTGGGAAGCTCAGGTCTTTGGGGTCCCAAAGCCATGCTCCTGACTTCTACACCACACTGCCTCTATTTGCATTCACCAGGAACTTACTGAACACCCGCGTCTGTGCTCTACTGGACCCCAAGGGTGATCCATTATAGAGTGTGATGTCATTCCTCCCCTCCTGGAGTTCAGTCCAGAGGAGACTGCAGGACACACCCACAAGTACAGGACACGTGAGGCCACCCATTAAATCCTCATGGAATTTCAGGATGCTCAACATGCATTTAAGAAAAGCACAAAGGAGCTCTGGCTGGGTGGCTCAGTTGACTGGAGCATCATCCTGTACGCCAAAAGACTTCGGGTTTGACTCCTGGTCAGGATGTGTACAGGAGGCAACTGATAAATGTTTCTCTTTCACATTGAGGTTTTTCTCTCTCTCCCTTGTTCTCTCTCTCTCGCTCGCTCTTTCATCCTCTGTCTAAAATCAATAATGTATCCTCATGCAGAGATTAAAAAATTTTTGTAAGAAAAATAAAAAGAAAAGCACAGAGGAAAAATAAAGAGGCAGAGGGAGGGAGGGTAGGAGAGAAGGAAAGAAAGATTCAAGTCATTATCCCAGCTCATCAGATAAATGAGCCAATCAGCCCTCACAATCCACAGGCAGTGTGGAGTCCATGCAGATTCTAGAGGCTTTCACCAGGCCCCTGACAGCAGCTCCATCACCAGAGGGATATTTGTCCTGTTAGCAAATGCAAAGGGGATATGTGTAACATGTGGATTTTGTTTTTAATCAACTCATTGTTTGTGCTTTTCCTCTGTGAGCTCCAGAATGTAATAGTTTGTTAAACTACTAGGGAAGGAGATTTAGAAGATGGAAGGGTATATTCAGAATGGCAAAATACCCATTCTTGTTTCAGGGTTACAATCCTGAATCCCTTCCCACCCCAACCCAGGCTTCTGGGGGCCTGGCTCAATTGGTAGAAATATGGCATGTTTACCTGGAGCGGGACGAGGTAGGGCAACAGGGACATTTTCGACTTTAGAGGCCTCACATTCCTTCAGCTTTTTCTTCAGAATCGCAATTTCTCGGCGAATAGTAAGGACATTGTTTTTGTCCAGTGTCTCAAGCACCTCTACCAGGAGAGTCATATTCCTTATCTAAGGAGATACAAATTCAGAGTGACTTTATATTATTGTGCAATTTCTTTCATAAACATTCCAGGGCTAAATTTGTCCCTTAGTGAAACATTGCTAGAGAATACACTCGAGATTCTTCTGAATGGTTTCATTTGGAAGAATACATTTTATGGTTTAGCATGAATGCCTGTCAGATCTCAGGCAGATGGGTATGACAAGAAGAAAATGGCAAAGATTTTAATAGCTTTAATAATAGAGCACAGGCTCAGTCTAAGCACCCACAACTGTCCATTAAAGTTCATTTCTAATAAACTCCTATAGACTCATATTTACTCCTGTTGTATCATAATTAATTTTCTAATGAATGGTGAAGAACAGAGAAAACTTAAATTATAAAATATGTAACTAGAATTCTCAATTATAGCCCATCCTATGAATGCTAGTAAGTTCTCACTGATATAAATTACCCAGCAATGGTCTTTATCTACAGAGTTTAAAAGACTTCACTAAAACACATTTAAAAACTCGTTTAAAAAGGGTTGCCAGGACTTCGGGACAAGATGGAAACATAGGTAGATACTCTGTGCCTCCTTGCACAACCAAAAGGAGGACAATGACAATTTAAAAACAAAAAATAACCAGAACTGACAGAACAGGGAACTGTATGGAAGTCCGACAACCAAGAAGTTAAAGAAGAAACATTCATCCGGACTGGTAGGAGGGGCAAAGTCAGGCAGCAGGGTCAGAGAGGACTCGCAGCAAGGCAGCAGGTGTCAGACCAGGAGGTCCCACATTCTTGTGCAGATAAACTAGGCAAAACAAAGGGGGAGCAGGAACTCCCAGCCTCGTAAGAAAGTTCACTGGAAAGATCCACAGGGTCCTAGAATGTACACAAACTCACCCACACAGGAACCAGCACCAGAAGGGCCTGATTTGCTTGTGGGAAGCTGGAGAAGTGACTGAAATCTGGCAGAGAGCAGAGCAAGTGCCATTGTTCCCTCTTGGGCCCCTTCCCCACAAATAGCATCACAACCCAGGGACTTGGGTTACTCTGCCCTGGTGAACACCTAACGCTCTGCCTCTCACTATGTAACAGATGTGTCAAGATAGAAAAAGTGGCCCAAAGGAAAAAACAGATAAAAGCTCCAGAAAAAATACAACTAAGCAACAAAGAGGTAGCCAACCTGTCAGATGCACAGTTCAAAACACTATTAATCAGGATGCTCACAAAATTGGTTGAATTTCACTGCAAATTAGATGAAAAAAATAAAGGCTACACTAAGTGAAATAAAGGGAAATGTACAATGAACCAACAGTGAAGGGAAGGAAACTAGGACTCAAATCAACATTGTGGACCAGAAGGAAGAAAGAAACATTCAATCAGGACAGAATAAAAAAAACAAGAATTTGAAAAAATGAGGAGAGGCTTAGGAACCTCCAGGACATCTGTAAACATACCAACATCCCAATTATAGGGGTGCCAGAAAGAGAAGAGGAAGAGCAACAAGTGGAAAACTTATTTGAACAAATAATGAAGGAGAACTTCCCCAACTGGCACAGGAAATAAACTTGCAGAAAGTCTAGGAAGCTCAGGTAGTTCCAGAGAAGTTGGACCCAAGGAGAAACACACCAAGGCACATCATAATTACATTATCCAATATTAAAAATAAGGAGAGAATCCTAGAAGCAGCAAGAGATAAGGATACAGTTACCTACAAAGGAGTTCCCATATGACTGTCAGCTGATTTCTCAAAAGAGACCTTACAGGCAAGAAGGGGCTGGAAAGAAATATTAAAAGTCATGAAAGGCAAGGACCTACACCCAAGATTGCTCTATCCAGCAAAGCTTTCATTTAGAATGGCAGGGCAGATAAAGTGCTTCTCAGATAAGGTCAAGTTAAAGGAGTTCAGCATCACCAAGCCCTTATTATATGAAATATTAAAGAGATTTATCTAAGAAAAAGAAGATAAAAAATATGAACAGTAAAATGACAGCAAACTCACAATTTTTAACAACCACACCTAAAACAAAAATAAAAAACTAATCAAACAACTAGAACAGAAACAGAACCACAGAAATGGAGATCACATGGAAGGTTAGCAACAGGGGAGTGGGAGGAGGAGATGGAGGGAAAGGGTACAGAGAATAAGTAACATCGATGGTAGGTGGAAAATAGACAGGGGGAGGGTAAGAATAGTATAGGAAATGTAGAAGCCAAAAAATTTATATGTATGACACATGGACATGAACTAAAGAGGGGGAATGTGGGTGGGAGGGGGTGTACACTATGGAGGGGAGTGAAGGGGGGAAATGGGACAACTGTAACAGCATAATCAACAAAATATATTTTTTAAATGGGGCAAAAAAAGGGTTGCCAGTATGTAGAGAGAAGTTCCAAGAGGGATCATTCAGAAACATTACGTGATCATTCAAAAGGAGAAACAGACCTAGTAAATCCAAAATCAGGTAAATTTTGGCTTTCTAATTTCATGAGGATAAATCCAGAACAAAGAAGGCACATGACCTAACCTGGCCATGAAGTTGTCCATATCATCTCCTTTCTAGAGACATTAAAAGGCCATTTGGTTCTAGGACAAGACCCTGATTATTAGCTGACATCCGCTCCTCAGTCAATATGTACCACTTGTGTTTAACATTAGTCAGGTGTCCAGTTCTTCCCAGAACACTGGAATATTTCACATGGTCATGAGAGGGTAGAGACTTAGAAGTCAGAAGAGAGAGATTCATATATTCTTGTACTAACACAACTAAAGACACTTATTATCAATATGTTGAGAAGTAAGTTCACCTCTTACCTCTACTTCCAGCTGGTCAATAATATCTGAGCTTCCAACAAAACTGCCCTTCAGCTGAATGATCAGTTTCTTCATCTCCTCCACTTCTAGCCTGATGAGCTCAAAGTCCAATTCAGTATAAGAAATGGTATCTTTTTCCATGATCTCTACCCGAACAGTTAGGTTTGAAAGTTTCTTTTCATAGATACTGATTAATTGGACATATTCCTTCACCTGAAAGGAAGTCAAAAAGCTCGTCAGTTCTCAGAGTAATATCATACAGTTTCCTCCACTACCACACCCTTGGGGGCAATTTGATTGTTATCAATCATTTTTTAAAGAAAAAGATCAAAAATATATTTCACAATATAGTTTTAATCTACCCAAATACAAACTAAAAAGAACTTATTACTATAATGGGGAGAGAGTAGACATTGCACTTGTATAAATTAAAATAATTTTGCTTCAGAGTCATCATCACTCACAAGTACATTTTCATCTCTAATTTAGTATTTGAAGATATTACCTCTACAAACTAAACTGGTCTGAATCAGAGTCTCTTGCCTTCTCTCCTCCCATTAATGCACATGCTGTAAATCAGAGTTTCTCAACCTCAGCACTACTGATATTTGGAGCTAGATTATTCTTTCTTTTTGGAGGTTTTCTTGTGTGTTATAGAACGTTTAGCAGTATCCCTAGCCTCTACATGCCAATAACACTCACCCACCCACCAGGCATGACAACCAAATATGTCCCAGAGATTCCTTAATGTTCCCTGGGGACAAAATCACCACCACCTCCATCCTTTAGTGGTTCTAAAGGTTCCATCCTTTAGAACCACTGCTCTATATACTTCCTAGAAGAAGGACAAATACACCAAGTAGAATTCTTTCCTTGTTCACCATATGAAATGAGTTTTGAGACCCTTTTCCTTTTACAAAATGGCATAAAGACCCAACTTACTACACAATATGTGAGTGTATGTACAACTATGAAATGTTCATTTCATTAAGTGAACCCACATTTATTCTAAGAACTGATTATTGCAATCAGACCTTTAAATTACACATTTGTTGCATACATTTGAATGTCTGATCATTACTTATGATCATTACTTATGAATTACTTGTAAGTTAAAATACTTACAAAAATTCCCTTGATGGTTTACTGTGTAATTGGAATCTCCAAATGGATATTTCAATAAACACAGTTGGTGGTTCTTTCTGTGTTTGATCTCTAAAAGAAATGCCATGGCTTTTTAAAAGACCCGTTCATTAAAAGTTACTATTTTTACATTTAAAAAAAAAATTTGAACACAAGTGATACTTTCCCCAAAACCACGCTTATGTCAAGTAGCTGATCCACAATACTTGGATGAATTCAGAGCCAGATGTTGGTCTCTAATACTTCTACTACTGAAGGCAGCCTTAACTTTTGTCATTTTAGCCCTTCCACTCAACCCCACTGTGCAAATTAGTGTAGACTCATGGACTGCAATCCTGAAGGGCCAGAGCTTCAGGCAAAGAGGATTTTAATGAAAGTTGAAAATGCAGCCCTTAGCACTGCTGATGTATTTCCTCGGGCAACTGATGCTCACTGCCATCAGATGTGTCATCACTCAGAGGATAATAAAGCTGGTGACATTTTGGCAGATAAGAAGGTTAAAATTATATATATGTACACACGGTCTGTCCAGAGGGTATCTAGCCATATAATATGAAAAAGACATTTACTGAAGAAGATACAAGATATAAAAAACATTGGATAGAGGACAATGATGGCTCAGTCCCCTTCAAAGCAGGCACCTTGGGACCTCACATAGTTCTCCCAACTGTGATCAGCTGCCCCATCATATTTTCCTGAATCTCATTGACAGTCTTAAATCCCTTTCAAAGGTGATTTTAGTTTTGGGAAAAGCCAGAAGTAACAGGGTGCCAAAACTGGGCTGTAGGGGGACTGAGTCACTTGGCTGATCTAATGTTTCACAAAAAAAAAACCGTGCACGAGTTGTGACGTATGAGTGGGCACATTGTCATGATGAAGCTGCCAATCACCAGTTGCCCAGAGCTGAGGCCTTCTGAATCATCTGAATAGTTTCTGTGGAGGAATGTTCCAGTTTAATGCAAAATCTTATTCAGATTCATTGCTCTACCCATTCAGTCATTTTGAATGTGACAACCATGCAGTACATGTGCTCACTCAACAGCATCTACCACCCCCACTGACTAGTACAGTGAAGTTGTCATTGTTCACACATGTGCATTCCAGTCCACTCTCCTTGGCTGCCAGGTTACATCAATATCACACAAACCACTCTTGCTATATTAAAATGGCTGGACTTTTTCTGGACAGACATAGTATACATACATATGTATAAAACCTAACAAGCCCTCTCAAAAGTACAAACACAGATAAAAGGCAAACATATTTCAATTTCTAAAATAAAAATAATCAGACATGAAACCTTGCCTTTGCTATAATAGTAATTAATAATAATAATAATAATAAAGTCCCAATTCATTGCAGAAACGGAAGCTTACAAAATGAATATTTTTGCTGGAATTTAGCCTTGCCACCTCCTATAATAAATGAAACTCCCTCTGCCTTCCTGGAACATTTTGGTGGCAGATCAATCGCAGCTGTTGTTCTACAAAAATGAGTGATTCAGAAGTCATCCCTGCTAAACAAAACATGGCTCTCACTGAAAACCAAGACATAACTTGGAGTTTGTTTCCTCTGATAATGGATGCTGTGCCTGTACTAGTTTGGCCATGAAAGGAAAGGTCTCTGAATATCTGTTTGGGAGAAGGTTTAGGTTCTTACAGCTGACATTTAAAGGAAAGCTCAGTGATGTTTGGGAAACCTGGAATCATCCATGGGGTTATGGAAAACAGGGGAGAATTTGGGGATAAGCCAGAAAATCTTGACAATGTAAACTATGTAAGCTTATTGTACAGATCTCTAATGCTAAAATGGCATGGAAAATTCTGAGAGCATCTCAGCTCTCTCTAGAACACAGGTGGTAAACACAAGGCCAGTGGTCCAAATCCAGACCTTCACCATGTTTCTATCCAGCAGCAGCACTGAGCTCTGGCTTAACTGTTAAGTAGTTACATTTATAGTCTTAAAATTATATTTGGCCCTTTGAAGGCAACTGCAAGGCTAATGTGGCCCCTGGTGAAAACAAGTTAGACACCCCTGCTCTAGAGGCTGCAGTCTTAGCAGAGGCAGCCCAACTTGACCTTGAATGCATAGCGAGAATATGGGTACAGCCCTAAGGGGACACATCCTTGTGTCAACATCTCTACTCAAGGCTCCTCATCACTACAAGTTGAGCTTTAAAGATTTATCTCTGCTTGTTTTTAATTGACAGCCTTACATTCAGAGCTTCCATGCTTATATTTGCTATGCACATATATGTCACTGATGCGTTCTGAGAGTCAAGGTTTGTTTAGTTTCTTTTTTTGTGGAATGTTTGTGTTGTTCTGTACAATAAATGTGGTCCTGCAATAAATATGGTACAATACAGCAGGCTATTAAGCTAAAGAATTAGTCTGGCTCATGTTTCTCCCAGTTCCCCAAAAATCTGTGATTGTAACTATGGCCAGATTATTTGAAATAAGTACATGTACTTTGCAGCATACTCACTTTAATGTATCGTCAAAAATAAATTCAGCAATATTACATAATCTTGAATTGACCATCATGACAAAAGAAGCACTTTGGAGCTACACCTACCTAAACTGTAATCTGACCAGTACCTAGTGGGCATTTGCCCTCTTAATTTTCTCTGAGCTTTAGCTTCCTGCTATAAACTGGGACTAATGGTATCAAGCTTAAAGAGTATTATGAAGACTAAAGATAATATATATTAGTGCCTAGTATAATGGGTACCATGTAAGTTACAGCAATTGTTAGAGAAATAGTATCTCAGTTTTTTTCAACCTGACCTTTGAATTTATTATATTTTACTGCACAAAACATTGCTCAATCAATGTTGCTTGTTTATGGGTTACCTAAATGTCTCAGGGTGCCTCAATCTTCTCATGCATGAGAATCTATTAGCAAATGCTTGATATTAAATAACTTGCCCCAAAGACCATAACCTTCCAGAGAAAATAAAATCCTGAGCTGCCTTTTTTGTCATCCCCTTCTGAAGAACAGTCACAAGAGGACATATTATAAACAACAGAAAAGTGTGAAATGCTTTCAGCATCTCAGACAGAGACATAAGTCTTCTCTGTGTACTGGCAGGTAGTGAATTAATGTAAGGCAGTCAAACCCTTTCCACTGGCCTGCCCAAATGGGCATTCCCCCGGGCCTCTAGATAAACGGTGATTTCCAAGGCAACCTAGAGACAGCTATAATAATTCACCTGGAAATTCAAAAGCTCTTAGCTGAAGAGATAACTTTAGATTTGAAGTCATTAGTGACCCAGAGCCTCTCCTTTTGGGTCTGCACTGGAGGATGGTATCAGTATGGCTGAGAGAAAAGAGAACTGGGATTAATTCTGAAGACCCAAATTCCTGACCTGCCCAGAGAGGAATTACACTTAACATTTATGTCTCTTTACCTTTATGAACTTCAGTTTTTCCACCCCTAAAATTAGAAGGAGAAGGCAAACATATCTGCTTTGAAAGAAGAATAAAAATGGAAGCATTTAGAAAAGCACAAACATAACGTGTTACTGTTATTGTTTTTATCACCTGTCACACTGATCTATTATGCAAATTTCAACAGTCAGGACTATTCCTTTTCTAGGCCTCAATCCCCAGGTTTTTTTCAGGACCAGCCACTCACATTTTCACAACCAAAATTTTCCCCACCTACTCCGCACTTCTTCCCTGCCAATTCTTAGCAAGGCAGATACCACCTGCCCCACTCACAGAACTGGAATTAAACACCCCACACTCACAAACCTGGCAAGATTCATGCTCTCCCTGAAGCAGCATGGGGTTTCACACTGCCCTTCACACTGCTGCCAGCAGAAAAGACATGCAAATCAGTAGCCTGCACCATTTCAAAGCAATGACTCCACTGGAAAAGATCTTTACCTAGGATTATTCTCCACTTGTTATGTTTTTATGCATAACTTCTTATCTGCACTTGATTATGCTGGAATAAGGCTATGAATATTAATGATTGGAATTTATAATTTAGTGCTGTGCCTTTTCTGCTGATTAATTCAAGGACATTTATTTCATAAAAAGCTAGATTCCAAAAGTAGTCAAGCACATTTTCCTGGACACTCATTTAAATTTAGAATATTTATCTACCAATTCAGGTTGAAAGCAGGGTGTCAGCCTCACCAAAATTTTTTAAAAGATAACTATGCTGGATGTTGTGGTAGCTAAACTTAAATATCTCGGGAAAACTTACTTTGAATCTTATAGGAAGGCCAGAGCTCCCTGTAAATTAATGGAATGTTATTAAATAATGTATAATGTGATTATAGCCTAGCATGAACTCCACCTGTGCAGAAAACAGGAGCCTTTCACATTTTTAACTTGGCTTAAAAGGTAGAAAGGGTCAAAACTGGAATGCAAAGTCTGCTTGCTCCAGCCATTTCAGAGAAAGGCAAGCCCTGTAGGAGAACTTCCTCCACTTGAGGAAAGAGTTAATGGGGGGCGCGGGGGTTGAGTCAAGGTCTTTATTTACCAAGGCTGAGTGACTTATTAGTTTTGATTCAAATTCCCAGGGAAGCCTTCAGTTTTGGTCTAATGCTGGACATGTGAAAGTAATATTTCCACGAGACAATAGATGATAATCACCCAAAAAAGACAGTGGCTAGGGGAAAGAAAGTAAATTGAAAAGAGGAAATAAAAGGAAGAGAAAGAAAAAAAGAAAGAAGAGGAATAATAGGCAGAAGATCTGGGGGAGTAGAGGGGGAGAAGAAACAGGAAGAGAAAGAGAAGGGGCCTTCCAAAAGTAAGAGAAAACCAAAGGAGTTTCAAAAATTTAAGAAGAAAGGGAAAGAAAGATTAAGAGGATGCACAAGAGAAAAGACTGAAGCAAGGGGACAAATAAAGAACAAAAGAGGAGTAAATGAATAAGAATAGGAGAAAAAGTAAAAGAGAAGGAACATAAAATAAAATATAAAGATGATAGAGGAGAGAAAAGAAAGCAAAGCTTAGAGGTAAGACCAACAAGAGCAAAAGAAAGGAAAACAAAACAAAAACAATTACAGGGTTGGGGTTTGCAGGGAGAGCTCAAGTCCTCTTTCCAACTGCATGAGTACCGCCATGCTGAAGGGCGTCTATCCACGGCATGAATAATTTCCATCTATTTTCTCTCTGGGCCCCCACTTTTCCTGCTTGAAAGAACTCCATACCTACTGGAATAAACACTAAAGCCTCCATAGGATGCCAACGTGCTGTCTTTGATTCAGTGAAGAATAGCTGCTTAGAAAGTCCTGAATAAAAAGTGTTTTGTGAAATAATGAAACAAAAACAAACTCAGACATACAGACAACCTAATGGTAGTTTCAGAGAGGAAAGGAATGAGGTGGATAAAGGGGGTCAAATGAAAGAAACTAGACTTTGGGTAGTAAGCACACAATAGAGTACAAGATGTTGAATTATAATGTGCACCTGAAAATTAGAAAATATTATTAACCAATGTTATCCCACTAAATTAATTTGTAAAGTGTTTTGTTTGTTCTTATTGAGATAGTGTGCGAAAGAGGGAAACTGCTTACTTTAGAAAGCTCTCTCTCAAACTTCTGGGAGAGAGTGAGAGCGGTGCTTTCCAAGTGTTCCACCCTCTCCACCGGAAAGGCAGTGTCTGGCAGGGCCACGGAGCACAGGCAGGTCCCGCGGTCATCCCGGGAGCCAGTGAAATTGGAGAACTGTAAATAAAAATAAGTTCAACATCAGTAACAAGTGGAGAAATGAGCTTTTTGGCAACTGGGGTGACAGAAATTGGCTTGTCAAAAGAGTGCTTAGAGGCAAGCAAGTGGAATCCAATACATAAATGAATAGAATCATAGGAACTAGCTAAAACCACCATGTTTCACAGGCAGTAAATACTCTTAGAATTTTAGTCACACCTTCACCTGTTTAGCTAAACTACTCTGTCAGCCACCTTTATCTAAAAGATAATGCCTTTCCTGAGGAGGATTAAAAGAAATTATTACTGTACCCATAGAAGGAAAGGGAAATAAAGAACAGATGAGAGTCTAACTTTAAATTCCAAGTCTACCAGTTACTGAACATGAACCCTTTTTAAGTTCCAGTTTCCCCACCTGTCAAAGATAACCTATTTTGCAGGGTTATCCTTCAGATTAACTGCATAGTGTAAACCAAGTCCCTGGCACAGGGTAGGTGATCAGTAAATGTTACTTTCCTTTTCTTTTTCTACTTACTCCTTTTCTTTTCCTCACTTTACCCAAACCCCAACCCAATTCATCCCCACTGGAAAGAGAAAAACATCAAGGATATGGGTTACGGTGCAAATATACAATGCAAATTCACATCCTGTCCTTACCAAGGAAATCGTATAATTAACATCCTTCAAAATTGAAACAAACCAGCCATTTGTTAAAAACTGAACAATGTATGAGTTTGAAGGTTTTATGCAATTTTTTAAAAAAGTTTTCCAGCTTATACCCTGGCCAGTGTGGCTCATTTGGTTGCAGCCTCATCCCATAGACTGAAAGGTTACAGATTCAATTCTTAGTCAGGGCACACGTCTAGGTTGTAGTTTGTCCCTGGTCAGTGTGCATACAGGAGGCAACCCATCGATGTTTCTCTCATATCGATGTTTCTCACCCTCTCTCTCCCTCCTCTCCTCTCTCTAAGCATGTCCTCAGGTGAGGATAAAAAAATTTAAGTTTCAGAAAAGTCACTTTAAAATATTTAATGTGTCTTTAAAATATTCAGGCTCACACTTCAGTGCTACTGCATATTTTAAAATGACAGGTTTGAAATATCCTGTTTCTCTTTTTCCCCCTTTGAACTTCTCTAAGGGGATCCCACCACAATTAACATTTTTTATTACTACTATTGCTTTACAGAGTAACTCTTGGCAGTCTGACAGCTAGCCCAAAGCTCACCTGTGGAACATCAACAGGAAGTATCTCTGTTTGGAACCAACAAGAGAAGAGCAATGGTTTGCAGAGTCTGAAAGAGACTCAAACTACACCCCACAAAGCTGAGGAGGTTAGCTGGCTGCAGCTAAGGTTGTGTGTCCTGTGCATTTAATGTCCACTGACTTCCATGATTTCCAAGCAAGCTGGACCTAGATACTTCTATAATCAAGATTTATTCCGTCAGTGATCTCTGGCTTTGCAACTAAATTGTTTGTTAAGTTAACCTAATCTTCTTTAAGATGACCAGATATATATATATATATATATATATATAAATCTGTACCCCCAAGTCTCTACACCAGATAAATTCCTGACAATGGCTTCACTTTTCTTTACCAATCACACCCACACCTGCAGGAGCTGAGGAGTAAGAAGGAGGAATAAGCAGGTTTACCCTGAATGCCAGGGCTGGGAGGTGGGTACATGAATAAGGACTGGACAGGCCACGCTGGGAACCTGTCACAGAGGCAGGCCAGCTTCCCTCGGAACCAACTTTATCATTCCCTCTGAAGCTAGAAAGGCTCCAACTCAAGTATGCCAAGGTTTTTACAAAAGGGCCAATATATCATGGACTTTTGAAGAAATAGCTTATTATAATAAGTGTCTGCCAAAAAAAAAGTCTTGCATTGCATTTTGACAAGGGAAGGTTAATTAGCTGCACAAGGCAGGATTGGACCATTCTTCAAGTTCTCTGAAAAACTCTGTCAACTCAGAGAACACTGGAGATCATCAAGCAGTCTCAGACAATCAACTAGAAACTACTAGCTAACAACTTTCCTGAAGTTCACCTGAAAGGCAGGCAAATCATTATGAGCCCTGCTGACAGTCATTTCCCTGGCTTCTATTGAACATCCCTGTCCCGGGGCTGTGGACTCCCCAGCTGCCATCCTGCTTATCATCAGTCCAGCGTGCTCAGCTGACATCAAAATGGGCCATAAGTTTGATCAGTGTCTCCCATTAGAGATATTTCTGCTCCTCACATTCAAAGACAATGAAGCTAATGGTGATGGGTCTCTCTCTGTGGTGAATGCTTAAACTCCATGTGTGTGTAACACAAGGAATGAAAGACAAAGGCAAGCACTTGTCCCTTCGGTTATTGGGAGGTATGTGACTCCCCTTGTGGAGGGCAAATAGGACCCTGTGTGCCCCACAAGACACCATACTCTGGTAGGTGCTCACTCACTCGACATGTGTTCAATTAACATTTACTGGTGTCCACAATGTGCCAGGCTCTGGTGGTAGGGAGATAGACAAGAACTGATTCCTCCCTGTGAATCAGGCCCATTTTCATGATGAGAGTTGTCTATTTTTTTCCAACAAGCCCCTTAGCCTGGTGACAAAAATACATGACTCGTTCCATTTCTGACTCTGCCAGTTACTGTGTGGAGCAAAGCATGGAGCATTTTCTCATCTGTGAAATGAGGATGCTGAGAGCAGCCCCTTCATGATGGGGGGGATGGCATCTGAGGCTTGTAGAGTCTCTGAGCACCACAGCAGAAGGTGTAACTCACATTTGTGATTTGAGGTGGCAATTGGCTTTAATTAGCAGCCAAGTCTAAGTGCCTGTGAAGATTCAAGGCATAAAATAATGGTACTCAACATTTTCAAAGTACAGAAAATGATACATTTGGAACTTGCTCAATGACAGTTATAAAGGGGTTTTCCACCACTTTCCAAAGTGCTCATCAAGCTGACAGCCAGCCCTAGAAAACTGGGTTTCTAGTGGAAGTGACAGCTTATAGCCTACTGTAGAAGAGAAGCTGGAGCTGTAATACTGACTCACCAGAGGAAGATCAGTAAACCAGGAAGGAGATTGGAACCTCCAAGTGCAATTTAACTACCATTTCTTGTCTACTTTTAAATATTTATCACCTTATCAAACAACAGGCATTTTGGATTTCTGTTTCTTGGCCTACATTTTATTTTCTATTTATTTTAACTGATCATCTTACTCAAATACTGATTTCTGATTGGTGATGAAGTTTCAAAATAAATTATTATTGTTATCTCGTTTAAAAATATATTAACAAGTCTAATTGTCTCTGTGAAAATTGTTCATTTAAATGAAATAAAATGATGCATCTCAGTTCTGGCTACAAAGAAACTTTGGACATATTCAAGATTCCCAAAGCAGTCTCTTTTTAGAAATAAGCAGTTTTCATCTATCTGCCTTGAAAATACAGTAAGCTGCATAGAGAGAGATGAAGAAGAACATGGGCAGACATTTTGAGCTGTGGAACTTGCTAGCTTATAGTGACCTTAAGTCAGTGACTTTATCTCTTTAAGCCTCAATTTTCACATCTCTACAATGGGATCATTAATTTTATCTACCTCTTAGAGTTAAATAAGATGATATATACTATGTACTTGACAAAGTCCTGGAATTTATTAGGCACCCAATGAACACCACTGATGACATTTTTGTCTTGGTCCTATCAAAACCATTTTTAATCAACACATTTTTATTGCCTATATATTCTTGATGGTAAAAACAACAAACAAAAGCCTTTTCCTCCTCTCTTCCTATTGGCCCTTCCACTCAGACATGATCGTGTAAGACCTGACTTGTGAGTAAAGATCATAGAAATGCAGGGGGATGGTTTCTGGAGGATTTAAGACTCCTCCACCCCAAGTCACCCCTTAGCATGGAAAGCCTAGGCTTTGCAGAGCAAAGTTCCTACTGAAAGGCCCAGAGCTCATGTGGGCAGAGAATGAGGAACTTCTTCTTGCTTCCTAACCTCTCATCTCTCCACACCTTTTTCTATTTCCTTAAGGTAGGTCCATAGGACTCATTGCAAAGAACTGGGCTCACTACACGTTCTAGTGATGTAGCCTCTAGTACATGGCTGGTTTTGTTGATTTGTTTGTTGCTGCTTGTATTATTGTTTTGAGCTGGAAATGGCTCTAAAAATTTCCTATAAGGAAGATTAAAAAAGAATGATTACTCCTCCAGGAAAATATGTATGTGTAATAGAACTTTCCTGGAGACCAATGTCTCCTCCCCTTACTTCTGTTGCCCATCTCCTTTACAAAACGGGCTCAGGGAGACTGTCAGAGCTCCAGCCAGACTACTGTGGCTCTCACTCCAGGGCTATCCTTCACCATCTTCAGGGTCTCTGTTGGGCAGTAAATCAATTAGACAAACTTTTCTGGAGCTACTACAGGCAGGGTTGCTTCCCTAATAGCTCTCATCCAGGACAAAACCTGGGCATCTCTACTTCAGAGTGCCCTTTCTACACCTCTCTCCATTCTAAAGTGCAGCCAGGCTAGGGAGCCTCTGTAAAGCTTAGATTGTTTCCTGAACTGAGATGTCATCTCTCTTGCTAACAATTTAATTATTTCACCCAGGTTTTAATTCATTTTCTTGGCACCTACGGTTAACGAAGATAGTCGTAAATCTTTTAGAGTGCTCAGGTCTAGCCATCCGTGAAATTATATTCGGGTCCCCAAAAAGCAAGAGGAAGGGAATGACTGCGGCTCTCAGACTTGGAGGCCTACTCACCTGGGTCCCAGAGCTAGAATGAGATCCGGAGCTATAACCATATCCGAAGCTGCCGCCACTGGCTGCCCTGAATCTGGAGCCAGAGCCAGAGCCAGAGACGAAGTCAGAGGTGACCTTACTGAGAGGTGAGGAGCTGGGATTGGGGTAAGAGGCCAAGGTTCCCGAAAGCCCCAAATCCTCTGCAGCCCCTGCAGGTGGGCTGAGGAGGAAAACAAGGACTTGAAGGAAGGCGAGGCAGGGCCTCATCTTGTGCTTTGGCTGGAGCAGCTGGCTTCTGCCCAGAGTCCAGGGGATTTTTATAGTGCCCAGTGGGGATTTCCCCATGGCCAGTCTGTGGGGAAAGAGGAAGTCACCAGGGAACACGTGATGGCCCTGAGAGGGTCAGGACACCCAGGAACCTGAGTCACCTCCACACCTTGTCACTGAGCCCCCACTCTGTCAGCTGCCCTTTGATCTGGTCATCTCCTGCCAATATTAATTAAAATGTGCTTTTTCAAGCCTAATATCTCATTTCCAACATGCTACTTCCTTGAAGGAAACGGTATCAAAGAAATCTTTGTGGATGAGACAGAGTTTTGAGGCAGGTCCCAGGAGAGAGAAAACTCATGTCCTTTGCCCAGTAGCCACTTCTAGTGGCCCATTTCGCTGAGCTCTGCTCTCCAGAGAAAGGCAGGGAACTCCATTTAAAAACTGTCTTTGTCCCCAGGGTGTGATTCCTTCTTCAGTTGCTACTGCCCAGGTTCTCCCCATTGCAGTGTCTGCCTCTAGACAAAGTTATCTCAACAACTCATGCCCAAGGAGGGAACAGCCATGTTCTGCTCCCTGAAAATTCAGTTAGGGCTCTACCTCAAGCACTCACCACTGTGGGCTCCAGGTAAAAGAAAGAACCCAAACAGGAGGCTGCCCACACCCAGACAGGGAGGCTTACGTTGGGCAGCTTCTCTCTCCAGAGGACTCTCTGTGTTCCATTGTACCACACTCTCCTGTGAGCTAGTCAGGTATTTAAGAACTCAATGCTTATTCATCATGAAACTGAGAGATGGAGTGGTCTTTAGGCCCCATTTGCAACTCTTCGACTTTTCACACACCCTTGTGCCCTATGCCTTCCTCCCTGCAGAATAAGAAAGGTATTGGCCTGAATATTAAAAATCAGTTCTGTCACTCTGTGGCCTTTGCAAGTCCTTTAGCCCCTCCAGTGTTATAACAATTTCTAAATTGGTAGAATAAGTAAAATATTATATAGGGAGAATTCATAATTTGAAGTGTTACATAAATTTTAGGCTTTTATGCTCTTTTGTTGTTGTTTTGCTTTTAATTTACTAAGGCTTGGCTCTGTGTGCAAGGTTACTGCATTTAAAACAGACAGAGAAGGTCCCTGCCCCACTTCATCCCCAACCACCACTGGAGGATTTGGAAGACCCGGTTTGAAGGACTCTTTCCCCTGATGGGCTCCATAAACTCCCAGAATAAATACCACTGATGTGAGAAACAGTTTGAATCATTGGAAAACTATTCAGATACTCAGGAAAAGAATAGGCAGGAATATGAGAAAGAATGAGAGAGTGATAGAAGAGATAGGAAAGGGGGAGAGAGAAGGATAAGTCTCTCTTTTTGGTGTACCCAAGGTGCACTGGGACTGCATCCCTGGTCAAGTGCCCAACTTTGCCCCCAACCAGATGACCAAGTAAACACCCCACCTAGATCAGTCTCCTCATTGTTGAGGTCCACACTCCCCAGCTATCCAGGCTGTCATTGCTGCCTCCACACACCCTCAAGCCACACAGGGTGTCTTCTTATGCCAATCTTACACCCATTTTCAGGTGGGTGTGGTGATTCGAGGTAGTTGGAATAAACCCAGGAAAGACAGAAGCATTCTCCCAGAAGCTCTTTGGAAAAAACAGGATCTACCTACATACCTTCTCCCAAGTTAATCTGTGGTGAACATTGAGGTCAAGGACAAGTGAGCCATGGCTAGCTCTTACAAGATAAAAGGAATAGTATTTTGAAGGCTCTATCTTTCATATTCTGCCCTATGTAGGGTTAACAAATTTAGCAAATGAAAATGTGGGATGCCCAGTCTAATTTGAATTTTAGATAAATTATAAATCATCTTTCAAGCATATATCCCATGCAATATTTGGAACATACTTGCTCCACTTGGGCAGAGCCTCCTGGAGCAGGATGTGACTGTGAAGTTCACTATTTCCTATGGGAAGAGATTCAGGCTTGGCCTCTTTGGTTGAATGTTCTAGCCATGTGGGCAGCCAGTCTAAGACGGGAAAAGCATGTGTGAGAATGAAATATAGGTACACTGTATCCATCATCCTGCAGTGGAATGCTATGAACATGGATATAGGGAGGAGAGTTTTTCTCTCCCTCCCATCACAGTTCCCTCTCTTCCTCCTGATTCCTAACAAAGCAAAGGGCAAAATCTCATCTCATTTGTTAGTAGCCTATGTCTGTTGCTATAATGAGCTTTCCTTGTTCTTTTTTTCAAGGAACGCATCAGTGTCCTTGTCAGATAAAAAAAACTACCTCATTAACAATGGTAACCCACACATACAGTGATGACTACCTTTAGGAGACCCCTTCCAGAGGGGTTGCATTCTTTAGGAGTGAGGCAGCAATTCTCCCAAACACAAGTGTGCCCTGACTACGTAGCAAGCAGCCTCCAATCCCCTGCTCATAAGCTCCTTTGTTCCTGTATGCCTCCATCATTTTCAGAATAAAATTTTAATCTGTTCGGTAGCCTCAAATGCACAATAGCATTGGTGATGCCACAGTAATGATATTATCAATTTTAACAGTTTGATCAATTCCTCTGCAAATACCTTTGTCCTAAGAAACAATGAACCTCCTCATTGTTTGACAGCTTCAAAGACAGGAGGTAATTATCAATATGGCAAAGTAAACAGTGTATAATTTACAAAAATTTGTTCCCACATTGGGTTCCTTCTAGAGTAAGGGAGTAACTGAAATTCACTTGACTAATAGCATTTTTCATTGATGACTTGAAAGAAAGTTACTATTTATGCACTTTATGAGGGGCATTCTCTGTGTACTTCTTGAACAGTTGCAACACAGAGAAGAGATACACAGATAGGGCCTTCATTAATCCCTGTCACTAGAAACCAGTGCCAAACATACTACAGTATATTCAGAAGAGAGTGTCTTAAGGTATCTGGTGTATAAAAGGACAACAGAGGCCATGTTTAGTCTACAAATAACTTACAGAGGCTGTGTTGGAGTGATCCTTTTCATGTCTGTTGAATCTGTCCCCCAAAACCACCCCAACTCTTATTAACCATACCAGTAATTATGTGTAAAAGTAACTATCAGCTGACACCATTTATGCACCCTAGAAGGAAGGTTAGCAATATATATTGAGCCTGACTCTGCAAAGTATCATGCTCTACAAATAGTTATGAAGAAACAAACATGGAAGCATAATTTTTTACAATAAAAAATGTCTAGTTACTCAAGGGAGGAAGGCCACAATCCTAGAAATAAAAACAACACATTGAACGCAACACCAATTGCATGAATATTGAAGCATGACTGAGTAGACTATGGTGGCCTCATCCAGATGGGTTGCTGTGAGAATTAGCCAAGTAGTAAGTTTATGGAGCATAGAGACAAAGGCCTCACTGGTTTTGAATCTCCAGCACTGAGATCAGTGCCAGGCACTTGAAGCCAAATAAACATTTTCACACTGAAAGGATATATTTAATAAATATATGAATGAATGAATGAATGAATGAGCTGATTGAAGAAGAACTAGAGAAATTACTAATTTTTAAAATTAACATTGGATGAAAGAGAATAAGTTCCAAGCAAGAGAAATTACATGCATAAAAGCCCTCAAGCAACTTGAATTCTCTTCAGGGTTGTGATGATGCCCCTACAATGTCATGTAGCTAACTCTAGCAACTCATCCCCAAACCAGAGTTCCTAGGGGTGTTCCTCAGCCTGACCCAACCCCCAAATCAACATTCCAGTTCCCTAAGCATATTCTATATCTGGAGCTGCCTGGATATAGCCATCCCATTATGGTTTAGAAGATTCAAAACCCAAAATACAGAATTTTCAACCAAATACCTATGTTTTTCAACCTGCAGCAAAATCCTCAACACTAATGAGATGCAGAACCAAGCTAGTAAAAAGTACAATTGATGGAAACCAGTGCAAATTTCTGAGCAAATGCTCACAAAATAGTGTTGAGAAATAATATATACTGATTTTTTAGGGGAAAAAAAGAGAAACTTTACATATTCTAAGGTAAAATTTGGACTAATAAGACACAAGAGGGCTCAGAAGTATTTCCCTCAGGGATGTAAGTGCAGAGTCAGAAGTCATCATTATCACCAGAGGCAGAGGGACTCAGAAGAAACCAAGCCTCAGGCTTATCTATAGTTCCCACCAGGATTCTCTGCCTAGAAACCACAGGCTGTCCCCTAAATGACAGGCTGTCCTCTTGTCATCTCCTGACCACTGCATTGAGGCACATTCTCACTACATCCCCAGAGCAATACTTGAGTTTTCCACACCTACTGGATTTTGTAAGTCACCCGGTCATCCCTCAAAGCCCAGTTGAGTAGGTTTTCCCAACCAGAGGTGAAAATGCTTCTTCCCTTTTTTTTTATCTGCCCCATTGCAGAAGCTCTGCTTGCCTCACATTCAAACCACCTGTGTTATAATGTCAGTTCTCAGCTGGGCCTGTTTTTTGCATAGATATTTGCACATGAGTAGCCTTATACATCTCGCACTGAGAGAAAGAGGCAAACATTTTCTGCATCTATGGGAAGTTTTCACCTGGAAGTTCTAATGTGACCACTGCAACTATTATAGCATTTTCAGATTTAGTCACATCTTTTATTTTTCAATTTCCATTACTTCTCTGCATGAATTTTCTCAAATGTTACAATTGCCAAGTTCATGCTAAGTGTCAGAATTCTGCACTTAGGGAGAAATCAATGTAGTAAGAAGGGCAAGAGGCAAAAATACTGAGAAAAACTGTTGGAAAGACCAAATTCCTACCTGTGGGACCTTGGGCACCTAAGCACAACAGAGTGTATCTAACCTGAGTTTTCCAACATGGTAACCACTAGCCACGTGTGTTTATTAAACAGTTGAAGTATGACTTTGATTTGTCCAAACCAAAATGAGTTATAAGGATAAATCACATACTGGATTTCAAAGAAATAATATGAAAGAAAAGAATGTAAAATGTTTTATTTGTCATTTCAATATCAATCACA